CGTCCCTGTTAGCGAACCCGCTTGCTAAACCCTGAACCCTGACGAAACCTGAAACTCTAAACCCTAAACCCTAAACCCTGCCTAAACCCTAAACCCTGATGAGACCTTAAACTCTAAACCCTAAACCCTAAAACCTGATGAAAGCCCAAACCCTAAACCCTGATGAAGCCTTAAACTCTAAACTCTAAACCCTAAACCCTAAAACCTGATGAACGCCCAAACCCTAAACCCTGATGAAGTCTTAAACTCTGAACTTTCAGCCCTAAACCCTGGTGAAGCCTTGAACTCCAAACTCTAAACCCTAAACCCTGATGAAACCCTAAACCCTAAATCCTGATGAAACCTTAAAATCTAAACCCTAAACCCTAAACCCTGATGAAACCTTAAACTCTAAACCCCAAACCCTGATGAAGCCTTAACTCTAAACCCTAAACCCTGATGAAGCCTTGAACTCTAAACCCTAAACCCTAAATCCTGATGAAACCTTAAACTCTAAACCCTAAACCCTAAACACTGCCTAAACCCTAAAACCCTACACCCTAAACCCTAAACCCTCAAGCCCTAAACCCTAGCACCTGTGAAACTGCACATGAGCTGGATGTACAAGATGTGAGTCAGTCCGAAGAGCCTAACTAGTTTCACTGAGTGGTAGCCTGCATGGCAGCGTCGACGTGAGTCAAAGGCGTGTCCCACCTAAAAAAAACCCTAGCACCTGATGAAAACTAAAACTTTAAACCCAAAGCTCTAAACCCTAAACCCCAAACCCTAAACCCTGATGAATCCCTAAACCCTAAAACCTTATGAAAGCCCATGTAAAACCCATGGGTTCGAGCCGGAGGCGCCTCCAGCGCCAGAAGCTTCGTCGCCGGCAAGCACGGAGGCCCCGTGTTTTTTTGGGGCTTAGGGTTTTGGGCTTTGGGCTTATAGGGTTTAGTAGGGTTTCGTAGGGTTTGGGGTTTATGTTCAGGGTTTGGGGTTCAGGGTGTAGAGTTTAGGGTTTAGGCTTTAGGAGCGTTTAGGCTCGAGCCTA